GCCCTCTGCGGCCCAAAGTTAAAAACTGTTGTTCTTTTGAGGCCCTCAAGGTGGTGCTGTGGGCCACAGGTTAAGAATCTCTGCAACACATTACCTTTGCAGCTACAATGCTCATTCCCATTCCGCTGTTCAGAGGTTTATGTAAGGTGATGGTCACAATYTCTGGCTCTCTCTGAATCTCCTGCTGAAGAAAAACAAAAACTAATAATTTCAACACATCTGGAGTCACTAAACATAAACTTGTTTTCTTTACCAAGTAGGTGTCCTCGTTAGTCTGAGCCAGTTCACTGAAGTRCACGGTCCAGTCACCTGTGGATTTGGGCTGACACATCAGAGAACAGAGACCTGCAGGAGGAGGAAGAGCTTCATACATTAACAGGAAACTCACCTCAGGGTAACAGGTCAACTCTACTGCAGAAACCTCCCACCTTTCTGACACATTGGCTCCAGAAATTCCTGAAAGCCCTGTGGGATGCCTCTGATGGTGTCACAGGAGTACCCTCCCTCCGGCAGCAGRAACGGTAGGTGCAGGTCCAGACTCTCCTCCAGCTTCATGTCCCGTCCTTCACTCTGAACCAGGTCGTCAGCCGAAGCTTCGGCTGCTCCCACCACAGCCTCAATCAAACCCTGCCAACAGGATGACAGCAGGGGGGCAGCAGAGACGCTGTCACTGTGCATGGGTGGGCTCAAAATCTCGGCCTGGTAGTAGCTAAAGCTGGTGATAAAGCTGTGATAATCAGTTCTAGGACCTAAATTATTTATACTTTACTTAAATGATATTTTTGCAGTATCCAATCTTTTAAAGTTTGAAATGTTTGCTGATGATACAATTCTATTTTTCTCTGGAGAAAATATGGRTGAAATAAYAAAAAGAGTAGAAAAAGAGCTAGCTGAGTTGAAAACATGGTTTGACAAACAAGCTATCATTAAATGAAGGGAAAACTAARTTTATGGTATTCTCCGGTAACTGGATCCATAATAATGTAAAGTTATGTATAAATGGAGTTGAAATTGAAAGAGTTTATGAGACCAAAATTTTCAGGAATTGTTATAGACAATAAACTCAGCTGGAAGCCTCATATAGAATATATTAGAAATAAAGTTGCAAAAACTATTGG